ATGTTGTGCACATCTCGATGCTCCCAACCACCGAAATGCTTCGCATCTTTATGCATCGTTATCTCAGGACCACTGAACACCGACGGTTCATTCATATCGTTCCAAGTGAACACATCTTTTGTGGAACCAACATATTGATCGTACGCAAATTTACTCGCCCAATAGTCGCGAACCGCCGGATTGATGAAGTCCAAATACATCGAAGCACCCGACCAGCAATGTCCCTCGTAATCATTCGCACCTTCCCTGTCCTTCACAAAGAAACCCGCATCTTTGGCACTCTTATAAATGTGATAGTTGTCATCTTTCTTGATATGCGGATCAATGATTGTGATCAGTTTACGACCCTTTTTCGTCAGGTTCGCAACCATCTCCAACGGTTTCGAGAACTTCACCGGATCCCAAGTGAAATATCGTTTGCCGTCGGTATGTTCAATATCCAGCCACATCGCGTCCATCGGAATATCGTGCTCATCAAACCCTGCGCTCACTTGCGCCACATCCTCTTGATCGTTGTAGTTCCAACGGCACTGATGATACGCGATTGAGAACAACTGAAATTATCCATTTATCTGCTAATCCAATACTCGAATACTTTCACTACCATAACCAGGAATCTATCACAATTTTTGCTAATCGTAAACCACATCGCAAACCTACGGTTGTCTTTAATCTGTATCAAAAAAAACTTTTAAACATCAGCCAGAAGATAAGCTCTCACATTCATTTCCACTCATCACCCACACTTCTATCCAGTTCTGTTTCACTCTCTCTTTTCTACTTTCAATCACAAGTTTTTTTTTGCTAATAGTCTCATAATGAACGATACTTATTCATACAAAAACCTGCGCGATTCAAAAAATTTCACTTCTAAGGGATTTTGAATGCGTTAATTGAATCGGAAATCGCAGCCAAATCAACAAAAACCGACCGGTGGCACTGCGTAGACACCAGTTAGATCAGCGTTTTGACGGAATAAATCATTAGGCGTAGGGCCAAGCATAAAGAACGTATCGATGAGACCCGATTCGGATATGAAATGCACATCGGTTTGTGGCACTTCCGACGAAGTTCTGAATTTATCCACCAATGCACTGAGCATACCCTGTAATTGTCAACAAATTATTGGCAGTAATATCAGTAAAATAACAGTGACATCAACAACATCAAAAAAGCAATAACAATAACAATATCAGTGAAATCAGTGAAAACCTTATCAGCCGTCGACGAATTGACATCAACCCAAGTTTCTGCGGCATTCAGCCATAGCATACCTATTGCACGGTTCTTATTGACAGCAGCTATGTAAGGGATTGCGCCATACAATGCCATTTGAGTGTTTGTTTCGTATTCAAATACATCCAAATTGTACAAACGATACGGATCCATACTGCACCGACAAATTTCAGTTTNGCTCAGGCAGACCGTAAATATACTTGAAACCAACGAACGACACATCCATACCCACAGAACTCGAACCTGAACCAACAGTACAGAAATCACTCGAAATGAACAACCACACCGAAAAACTCATCAGTCTAACCAAGAAGTTTTGACAATTTCAACGAATTACCAAATAAATTCAACGGCACTAACCGTAAGGTTTACTATCGTGGAATGACTTGAACGACTCATCCCAGAATCCTTCACCAGCTTCCTGTTCTGTTCCATCTTCCTGCAAGAAAACAAGCCTTCATTATTATGTTTCACCGTAACTGATAGTGAATATCAAATGAAATCATAACATTATTATCAAGAATGCGCTACGTAAAAGCGCACGTAAATAGAAACAGATATTAAGAGATTACAAAGTGAAATGATAACCTTCTTCCTGAAATGCTCAAATTTGAGTTTGTTCGCTGAATTCACACTCAAAATGACCTCCTTCTTGGCCATAACATCCAGTC